TATTAGTTGCAGGAATATAAGTGCATAGCACAAGCAGCTTATATACTAAAGTATGAAGAGAGAGGGAAAAAAAATGGAAAAAGCTTGCAAGCTGTGTGGTCTATATTTGTCCAGAGTGTAAGAATAAATGTCATCATAGTTTGTAGCTTGTACAGAGTGAGCATGCCCTGTTTGTGCTCCCTCCTAGTTGGCTGCGGTTGGAGTCATCTGGACAGGAAGCCTCCCACAGTGTTATGGCCCTAAACAGCATCTATACTAGCACTCACACATCGCCTCCATGCTTATTTGCTTGATAAATGAGAGCAGGGGCTGGATGAAATCTTTGCAGCTAATTGTCTTTGGGTATCTTGCCAATGTACATGTAACCATTACAAATGCAGTGAAATAATATGCAGAGCCGAGCCCGGTCGATTGTGATCAGCTTGTTCCCGGAGCAGAATGTCTCTGCAGCACTTTCTTCAGGCATATTTGAGGCATGATGCAACAAAACACAAAATACCTGAGGCAATTTCAAGCCATAAATGCACCACTGCACCTACTGCTGTAACATTTCTGATCTCCTGCTGGCTTTTTTTTTTTTTTGCCAAGTGGACAATATATTTTGTTAGTTAGAAAACAAGCGGGCTTCTTATTAGTCTGTGTAAAACCTTTTGTGGAAGAATTTGTCATATATATGTTGATTTTGGAAGGCTGGGGAAATTAAATGCACATTTTCCACGTGCAACAAACCTTTAAACCATATAATAACACAAGGCTTCCTTTAAATAGCTTCATTTGCATTTAAAACCGAGTCTGCTTTTCTTTAATATTTGGATTCTGTTCTTTCAGAGGTTGATTATGTTGAATGGGAAAGCCATCTTGTTTGATGCTCACTAATCCATTGATGTCATTAACTTCCTATTAAGTGGGTGTGATTTCTAGTTACAGTGGATTTACATTGTGTCGTTACCCATATTTCTCTTCTAAAGCTGTTATTTGCAGAGAAAAGGCCATTATCTGCACCAAACTTCACCTCTGTAATTTCGAAAATGAATTCTCCACCCTCACTGTCATCTTCCAATTACATTTCTCATTCTGCCTGGATTTCATGGTCACTTCACGGTTGCATGCATGTCTCTTTTCTCCTTCGCCTAACCACCCTTTCTCGCCTGTCGAGGAAATGCAGCTCGTGAAGGTGTTCAGCACAGTTTTGCACTCGTGTGTCTGTTTGCTCATCAGGGTGTTTGTTTATGAATATGGCCTGACCGGTCGCACGCCATTAAATTAATGTATGCGATAGGAAGTCATTGTCCCTCTGAAAAATGAAATAATCCGCCCCGGCGTGGTGATCAGCGCTGTCACCGGAGTAATTAAGTAGGAAAAGTTTGCCGTACGTGAACGAAGGTGTGTGATTCAGCGACCTTGAGCGAAACACCTACGTGGATGGGACGTGATTGATATGTGTTCCAGATCTGCTGGTTGTCCCCCTCAGCTTTCTTCACTCTATCCATCAATCTCCTGGTGTGTGCCTTTTCTTCTTCTCCTCCTACTCAGCTTACCGACAAACTGCTGTTGAACTTCTTCTAGTTTGACTGCGGTGCACACATACCTGCTAACCGTCTACCATTATACTTAGAATAAATCGAAATCCCCTCCAGGTATGTTGGAAGATACAGAAACATACCCTGCTTTGAATGATAATTTATGTCTGGTAGGTTTGTTTTTTTTTTCATTAAAATAAGTTCATTGACCTGTTAAATTGATATCCATGCTCACTCCCTTGTTGAAAAGTATGCAACTATATATTACTTTTTATTTTTAGATGTTCAAAGTTTATCCATCGGATACAAGATGTCTTCTGCATCACTTAAAGTCTCTTTTTTTTTTGTTATTATTATTATTTGCAATGCAGGCTTCAAATGTCCACATCACTGAATCCGCTGAATTTAAAAACAAGCCTCACAGTGTCAAACATATGTTCTGGTCAGTGGAGCTCAAACATCTAAGAGAAGAAACATGAGCAATCCTTTCATCAGTCTTTTTGGGAAAAAAAAAAAGAAAGTAATCTATTCCGGAGGTTTGCAAGCTATTCCAAGATAAATTAACATCTACCACCATGTGTCCTTTTGAAGGCTGACACTTTTCTGACCTCAACCATTAGTCTGCTAGAATGGTTTGTCAGCATATATTAAACTGTTAGCATACCAAAAAAAAAAAACTACAGCCCTCATGGTGAATGGGATCACGGGAATATGACGGTAATTTAGTTTCCTCCATATCATTCCATCTAAGTTTTCTTTTAATTTAGTTGTTAATGTAAGCGTTTGGGTTGTCCGGGCGATCTAAAGCACGGATCATTTACTCTCTGTTAAAACAGAAGGATTAAATACGCAATAATATACAATTTTTATTCATTTCTGTATCCAGACGTATAAGGTGGACCATGAGACATACTGTTGATCATATTCCAAGGATGGATTTTTAGCTATCTCTGTTATTATAAATACTATTGTGGTTTTTAATGAGATTTTCCTTAATTTCGGACCAAATGTTTAACAGCCAGGCATTTCTGGATTGTTGTTGTGCAATCAGCTCAAAAGATGGTGAAACTGTAGTGGTTGGACAAGGTGTTGATCATAAGAAATTAGAGCGATGGATGTCATAATCTGTCTTTTTTTATTTGGTGTATAAACAAACAAGATTGTGAATTTTTACCTCTTATTTTTTTTTTCTGTAATCCTGAAATACACAATTATTCATACAATTACTAAAACAGATCATCAGTTTGCATTACATCTATTCAGCCATTTCTATCTGGCTATGTGACTATTTAATTACACATATATATTACACTGTATAGCATAGGTTGTTTAAATAGTTTTTTTACAGATGTATACAACATTTGTTAAACATTAAAAAGCCAAATATATACACACATCTCATGTAATAAAACCTATAAAATGTGTTTTGATCATGAAAAAGTTAAATTTTTTTTTAATGACATGGTTACTTTCCATTATTTTACAGTGTTTTTGGTGCCTCAGCTGCTGAAATATTACAAATTCTCTACAATTTTTCCTGTTTTCGGTGTATATACTATATGTGCTAGTGGTATTTTATAACACTGGAGAAACCAGTGGCTTTACGTCATGCTATTCTGGACCGTTGCCTCCTAACTTCAGCTCTAAATACACAATTATCTCATGCAGCCTTTGGAAAGACACAATTAACTAATTTCCCTGGAAGTTTTGAACTGTTCCTTTAACACGGTCACCGCCCTAACGTCTCACCATATACACTCGACACACATCGACACAACACAGAACCCTGTTTATCCACTGTTTGCATAAAAACCAAGTGAGAATGTCCCCACATCTCCCAGAGCCAGTATCCCTCTCTATTTCCTCGCCCTCCATTCAAGGTACAAACACATTAAGGTTGAACTCCTAATAGCCTGTGTGATGGATGCCCGAACATAATGAGCTCTTTATGAGACTTAATACCTACTGTTAATCAATGGACATAGCAGGGCACTTTTCAATACTACCTTCTAAGCATTTTAAAATGAGCCCTCTTTGAATAGATTGACTCACATTCTGTATCTTTCTCTCTCGTTTTTGCCTTCTTATTCTGCCTCCCGTTCGCTCCTGCAATTAGTTACATCGCGTATTCTCAATCAACCAATGCCTGTTTTCTTCAGAAATGCACTCTGCTGCTCCGTTATTGACAAACACTGTCCAGACTGCGAGATGTTTCGCAGTATATAATGCAGTGGGTGGACGAGACTTTTCCTCAGGCTCAATTAATGAAACCATGGATGACCTATTTATTACCATAAATATCCCATACAGGCAGCTGCTGGAAGTGTTCCTGTCAATTACTGCTGGTTGTTATATTGTTGGACTTTGATCTTTAGCTGCTGGTGTAATGCGTTGCTCAAGGCCGCTTCGCTAGTATCAGGCTTTATTAGCATCACAATCATGTGTAATCTGCATCCACAAGTGTAAGGTTTGAATAGATTAAAAGTGGGCTGGTGCTGCCGCAGCAATTGGACAGATCAGGCATTAGCACGGGGCCAGATAATTTCATATTATTCGTGTGCGACGAGTTCTTTTACGAGCTGTGTCAAGTTCAGGTAACACTGTTATCTCAGGTGCCTCCGTACTGTATGTGTGCATCCGAGTGTGTTTGTGATGCTCTCTGTTTGTGTATCTGCATTTGGGTGTGTTTGATTATCCCTTACAGCCTCTAAGGGAGCTGGATTCATTCTCACTCTGATAATGAGGGAGAGACTACCAATGCCCTCAAGTCATTTCTCCTCTTCTTCCATCCTTCCTGTTGCATCCGGCTGCTTTTCTTTCTTTGTTGCCTTTTACCGTTTTTTTGTTGTTGTTGTTTTTTTTTTTTTCATCCTCCCCCAATCTCGATAATCTGTCTGTGTTGCCACGATTCCGTCCGTCCTTTCTCGGCTTTCTGGCCACTTCTGTTGTATTCGTACCTCGCAAACATCAGTTTAAGATGACTGGACAAATGTTTGAGTCACCCTCTGTTTTTATGTAATAGATTTAAATGCTGGCTGACCATTTTTCATCAACGCGGTCGATGGCTGACTATCTCTGTGGACCACAGTGCTGGCAGCTCTGTTTCTCCCCACAATAGCCTTACTTATCCTGCATCAATACTCCGATGTGTTGTATATTTGCCTGGTTGCTCAAATGTCCATTCGCAGTGCTCCCTCTTACCTAACTTTCCCTGTAAACTCTACAGGGAGTGCAAGGCAAGAGTGAGTCACAGCAGTGCATCCATTAATTTTATACCAACCTTTCACTGTCTCTTCCACTCTCTCCGTCTCTTCCTCTTCCTATCTCTGTTTTCCAGGTGACTGAAGTGGAGATTGACATTACGGAGGCCCTTTAGGAGGCCCTCCCCCTCCATCTTCCCCTCCCCACTGCCTTGTCCTCCTTCTCCTCTGCATCCACCTCTCCTCCCTGCATCCCCACCCCCTTTTGGCCGACCTCAGCATGGATCTGAAGGACCGGAGGCACCGCTCCCTGACCAGGGGTCGCTGCCCCAAAGACTCCCAGTACAACACCTCCTCCTTGGACGCGGACGAGTGCCGCGTGCCCACCCAGAAGTCCTACAGCTCCAGCGAGACCCTCAAGGCCTTCGACCACGAGCAGAGGCTGCACTATGGAGGCTGCGTGACTGACCTGGTGCACCATGAGGCTGATGAGTACTCCAGGCAAGGTGGGTTTGTGGAGCAAAGGATTGCTTTCGAATCCTTCATTATGCAGTCTGGGATTGGGCTTAATCCATATGTGCTGGACTGAGGACAGAAAATCAAGTCCGTTTTATGACCTTAAAGGGCCAGTTCAATATTTCGGGAAACATGCTTGTTTGCTTTCTTGCTGTGAGTTGGATGATTTATCGATACCACTCTCATGTCTGTATTAAGCTACCGCCAAAACCTCCAAACACTAAACAGCCAGCTACCTCATTTACTGTATTTATTTACTGTACATAGATATTGATTTTCTTGTCTATGCAGTCCAGGATTGGGCTTAATCCCTATTGTGCTGGACTGAAGACAAAGAAAATCAAGTCCGTTTTATGATCTTAAAGGACTTCTTCAGTATTTTGGGAAACATGCTTCGTATTTTCTTGCTCAGAGTTGAATAAGAACGTTGATCCACTCTCATTTCTGTCTGTTTGGACTCAAGAAGTGGACAATTTCTAGCCTGGCTGAGCTAACCAGCTGCTGCTGTTAGCCTCATTTACTGTATTTACTTACTGTACATGGGCATTGATTTTCTTGTGTAGTTCTTGGCAAGAAAGCAATTAACCACATTTCCCAAACTGTTGCTCTAATTAATCCTGGCTCATTTGCATAAAACCTATATTTGTATTAAGGATTGAAGGGATTCTTTGCAGGCTTCATCAAAAATGGAGTGAATGCAATATGGTTCCAGGGTTGTGAAACAGTGTCTAGCTGTACCAGATAATGAGGGCCACTAATTGCAGCTAAAAGGTAAAAACTAAAAACTCTGGGTTGAAACATTTTCCTGTCAAAATTTCCACAATTATGTCCACTGTAATTGCAATTTCAGTATTAAAAAAAAAAGAAGTCATTTTTCTGTCCAGCACATGTGGTTGAACCCACCGTAGTGATCCCTCCCAGTCCTGTTTTGTGGCCCAACATCACACACAACACTTGCAATTACACACAGTCACATTGTTGCACGTGTAAAAGGTTTCCAGCTGTAGACTACTTTCAGGCACTCTGTGTTTCTTGCAAGTCTTCTGTGGCAAGCTGTTAATGTAATCAGATGCTGTAAATGTTGCACTTTGCAGCAGAGGACCAAAGCAGACCTTTAGCACTGGCAAGACTGTCATAATGAACTTCTGTATCCCCTGGTGAGCGAGTTAGCCGATAGGCCGATAGGTCATTTCTGTAGGGGCGGGTCGGCTCTCATAGCCATGTCTTTAAACTGTGTGTCTGTGCGTTTGTGTGTTCGTGCACATGTGTATATTGCAGAGGGACATGAAACAGGCAGTATTGATCCTTGGCTAGTGAAAGGAGTCAGACTCAATGGAATTGATCTCTGCTAAGCTCTGTTTTCTCTGCATGGACACAGACAGGAGAGGAAGCCAGTCCAGAGCAATACAACACAACAACAATGCAGAAGATAGTAGAATACCACAACAATCCCCCTTAAAAAAATAAATAAATAAATGTATATATATCGAAGAGTCTTTGGCGGTATTCTCCAAATGAAATATCGCCACTGCAGCTTGAAAAGATAAACCTGCTGTCAAGGTTTCATGTCTGAGTGTGTGTGGCTTCTAGAAATTAGAGAAATGGGTCAAACTGGCAGTCGTTTAGGAATAAAATGGCACACTTACAGGGAAGAAAGGCTTTTTAAAGAAAGGAATATGACAGAGGAACATACTTCGTCAGAGGCAAAGGTAACAACAGAAAATGGAGGATTGATTGGCGGAATGGATGAAAGACTGGAAGTCAGTGGTGTATGCTGTTCGGACACACTCCAATGCTGCACTGAGCTGACCTCACACCAGGCGATAGCTGGTCGATACCACAGTCCTCTCAGCCTATCGGCTTCTTCGAAAGCCCAGAGCCACAGATGCATCGTGGGAAGTGTGGCCACAGGAGACCAACAGTGTTGCAGCACCATATGGACTGTGACACTACGGGAGGAGGAGTAGTGCTGGAAGGATGGAGAAAGAGAAGGAGTTAGAGTGAGAAAGACAGAGTGAGAGAAGCAGCAGATAAATGTTTTCCTTATCTTTCGACTAGAGATTTCTCATGACCAGTGAAAGAGAGAGCGAGGAATAGAAACAATGTGTTCCCGCTTTGAACAGCTTGTAGTTGAGAAGCAAGACGAGACAGAAACTTTATTTCTGTAACGTAATGGAGACAGCTATCAGATCGTTTCCTTTCTGTGTTATTGAATATCGAACAAATGGTTTGAAGGAGAGGCTTGGTATCTGAACTGACCTGCGATATTAGTTATTCATGGCTGATGGAGGCCACACTAGAAAATATGATTAACTTTGATTAAATTATAATGATGTTGTTCTTTTGGTTGGGTGAGCCATCATGGAGGTTCTGCTTCTTATTGAGAAGTTTTGAGGTCATCTGAAGCTCTTCTCAGACTTTTGTTTTTGCTTTAATGGTTTCTGCGCAAGTTCTGCGGTGTGTTAATGCATACTGACTTGCTCTTACAGCTGTCATTAGTTTCGTGTGCGAGACGACAAAAGGCACAAGTCATGCACAAATGAAACCGGAACACCCACTGAGCATGTGCTCCGGTACGTTCGCATACAGTCACCGTTATTGACTCACCTGCTTAGCTGGAGAAGTGTTCAATCCACTGATAGCTGAGCACGCAACTGCTGCTTAGGCATAATGCACATTTTTACAAGTCAAATTTTCGGGGTCTGTTTTCGTAATTGTGAGAAGTCATTGAAGATATACAGTGCAAATTAGGAGTACCGAGATGTCCTCAGGATATGTCCTGAGCCAAACGAAGAATCTTGGGATGCGATTCTTGGAGTAAAACTCGCTTTTTTTTTTCCCCCCCTGAATTAATAAGGTTTATAACTGAGTACATTGTATGCATAATCAGTTTATTTTTGATCATGTTTTCAACTTACACAAACAGTTGCTTTGCTCTCTGTTTCTAAACATGCAAAACAGTTGTGCTGAGTATAATTTCAGTGTTACTCCAATTCCACTTCCTTCCAAACCAACTTACTTACAGCACATAATTATGCATGAAAAGCTTCACTGGAATTCCAGTGTTTCCTGAAGCATAAATTCAACTAAAAAGGAACGTCATCTCCCTTTGGAAGCATATTTGAAGTTTGTTTGGAGTCATTCTGGGGTAATGAATATTTGTGTTTTTAACAACATAATGTCTCTCTGTATTCTCTGCTATGTGTAAGACAGTATTTTAATATGCTAATTATACATTTACATGACAGACGTGCTGCGGTCATATTACACTACAAAACTCTAGCTCGGCAAGGTATCGAAAGACATTCATTTAAAACTGCAACAACAATTAGTTGGAAACAGATAAGCTCAACACAAATCTAGATGTTGTAATCATATATGTCTTAAATCATGCTTGCTACTCCAAACAACCATATCTTCTGTGACACCTACCTGGCTACACATTTGAGACAAAACAAACAAAAAAATACATCTTCACCCCATCAAGTAGTCACTCAGTAAACATTAAAACAGTCATATGCTGAATGAATGGAATCTAACAGAGGCTGCAGCAATTTGGTCTTTTTATCTGAGTAAAGCTTTTTACAGCTGTTTGGAGAGTGTTGTTGTATTTTGCAATATACATCCACAACATCAAAACTACCTGTCTAATATTCCATAGAAGCCTCACATACCACCAAAATAGTTTCGATCCATCACCTGATTTTGGACACTATCAGCCCAATAAATGGCCGCTACCAGTTGTGCCCATGCAGTAGGCGTCCACCTGCACGTACTAGTAGGCCAGAACATGCATTATCATCTATGTTATCATTGTTTACGAGAAAGTAACGCAGATTAAATAGGCAGCTCTTTGCAGTCGTGTGAAAGAACTAAGTGCACGTACAATCTTCATTGGAGTCATCACTCTGGAAACATACAAAATGGATCTTTGCAACACGTAGCTAATGACTTAAAAGGCAGAGCGAGTGAAAACAAAAGTGAAACTTAAGTGAAAAATAATATGAAGATAATGGTCCACGACAGGACTGAAACTTAAAGTCTCCTGTGTAGAAGTCTGCAGACTTTGCAACCATCACCGCTAAATGAAGTGACAATGGGGCACCATTAAATGAGGTGATAACAGGTTTTCTGACCCTACGAGACAACGGAGGCGGCCACCGACTTAGATATCTATTAACATTATCACAACCGATTATGGCCATTTAAAGGCCTGACGACAATTGAAACAGGTGAACGCGTGGACTCCACAAGACCTCTGAAGGTGTCCCGTCTTATCAGGCACAAAGCAGGAGGCCATTTAAGTTCTTTAAGTTCCAAGGTGGGCCTCCTGCGGATTGGACTTGTTTTTTTCAGCGCCTCCCACAGATGCTCAATCAGATTGGGATCTGGGGAATTCAGAGGCCAGGTCAATACATTAAACCCTTTGTCATGGTCGTCAAACCATTCCTGAACAATTTTTTTTGCAATGTGGCAGGGTGCATTATCCAGTTGAAAGAGGCCACTGCTATCAGGGAAAACTGTCACCGTGACGGTGCGTACGGGCTCTGCAAGAATGTTTAGGTAGGTGATAGGTGTCAAAGTAACATAAATGCCAGGACCCAGGGTTTTCTAGCAGAACATTGCTCACAGACTCACACTGCCTTTGTTGGCTTGCATTTTTCCCATATTGCATCCTTCTGCCTTATCTTCCCCAAGCAAATGATGCACAGGCACCCGGCTGTCCACATGATACAGACCAGACAGCCGTCTTGCGTTGCTCCATAGTCCAGGTCTGATGCTCACGGGCACATTGAAGGCGTTTTTGGTGGTGAACAGAGGACCTTCTGACTGGTTTGCAGCTGCAGTACTCAGCCCGATAAGCAGCAGGCTGTTATCATTGCGTTTTCTGGAAACTTTCTATCATAGCTAGCAATGAGGGATTGGACCACAGAAGACAGTTTTTGCTCCCTGTGAACATCAGTAAGCGTTCTGTGTCCATGACTCTGTC